CCACCACCATCATCACCACCACCACCATCATCACCACCATCATCACCACCACCACCATCATCACCATCACCACCACCACCACCACCACCACCACCATCATCATCACCACCACCACCACCATCATCACCACCACCAGCATCATCACCACCACCAGCATCATCACCACCACCACCAAGACCACCATCATCACTGCCACCACCATCATCACCGCCACCACCATCATCACCGCCACCATCAGCAGCAGCAGCGCTGTCATCATCATCATCACTTTCAACTTGGGGAACCCTCTAACCTAACCCGTACCTCCCCACACATCCAATCAACACCATCTTTCTCCACTCCCGCCCCTCTCTCCCTCCCTTCTCCCTACCCCTCTTCTCTCCCCACACTCTCTCTCTCTCTATCCGTCCCGGGCTAATCTGTCTGGCCACCGCCTCTCATTCATTAGAGCAGTAAAACGCGGGGCGCCCTGTATGACATGTAATCTGTGCCGCGGCAAAACTCGTTACTGCGAAACATCAGAAACACAATTTAGATTCAAACCTCACCCCCAGAAACCTTACCCCTCCCCCCTCTTGCCTATAAACACACCGCTCCTCTTCTTCAACCACCACCACCACCATCCTCCTCCTCCACCCATCACCGTTATCACCAAGACCATTACCATCTCTCTCACACACCTTGTTCTCCCATAGTCATCTTCCTCATGTTAACATCACCATACCCCCTCACCTCTTCCACCCATCACCACTATCATCTCAAAATGTCCCATCCCAACCGCCTGTTCTCCCATCGTCATCTTCCTCAAATTTTACATCACCACCATCCTTAAATCCACCCTCCGCCCGCTCATCTCCTCCAGCATCACAACCACTGTCCACCACTCCTACCACCCTCCACTCCCCACCCTCTCCATCACCTCCCGATCCCTATCATCAACACCCACCTCTCATCCTTGCCCATTATCACAGCCCGGTTCCCTCTCACCACCATCACAAGCTGCCCTCTCCGCAGCACCACCATCATCGCCCCCTATCTCCACATGGCAACCAATTTTATTTCCTTTCCTCCAGCGGTCACAACCACTGTCCCTCACATCAGCACCCCATTATCATCTCACCCCCCCAACGCACACTCTCCCAATCTGCCTCTCCCCATCACAATCTCCATCCTCCCCATCACCGCCCACCCCGACTCAAGCCAACATCACCAGAACCCCCCCCCCCCTTAGGCTCATAAGTCAAGAGGTAAGGGGTGGGGGGCTCTGGCAGGGGCTGGCTGAGAGAGGGGGGCCATAATAAGCACTTGATCTGGTTGTGTGGATTTTGGCCGTGTGAGCGCGATATACACGGGCTCGGATTAACCACAAGTCTGCAAACTAACCCTATAACCCGTAAGCGATACCCACCCCCCTCCCCCCCCCAATTGCGATCTAAAGCGTAGTGTCGTCTTTTTCGTCTTCTTCAATCTAAGCGTCATCTGTCGTTTGGGAATTCTCGTAATTAACGCGGCAGCTCAAGCTTTAAAACGAAAAAGGAAAAAAGAGGAAGGGGAAAAAAAAAGGCAGCCCCCCAACGCAGGAATCGTCAGATTGCTTCCCGTTAATTACGGCTCGTCCTTAATTAGGACTTCGTGAGGTCGCGACTTGTGGGCGGCTATGATTAGGGTGGTGGTGGTGGTGGGCGCTGTCATGATTTAAGGGGCACCTCTAACCCTTAACCCCCCCCCCCTCCCCCATCTAACCTTTAACCCCTCAAGCCCAAAACACCATCGCTAATGCTCACAAGCAATTCTATCTCTAACTTGAACTATAACCCGAATGCATATAACCCTTCACCCTTAAACCCCCAATCCCGTGGCCTCTGCGCTGATCGTTACGCTTGACAATGATTCTCGCCACACTTGACGAGGCCTAAACCCATCTGACTATCCTCAGACACAACGCCTCCCTGAATGCTAAACTCTGGGGCCCAAAATCCGAAACACAAACGTTAACTCGACTTGCGATACTTCTAACGTGGCAATCTATAAACTAAATATTGACACTAGCTCTAAATCTTACGTCATCTGTGACCCCCAAGTCCTAAGACTTGAACCCTAACTCGTGAATCTAAAACGATACCAAAATGTAATCGTAACCCAGAACCTAACTTTTAACAATACTGTAATTTTCATTCAAACTTTAAACACAGCTGTGGTTTATATATATGGTGAGGTTGATGGGAAGAATCTAGCCATTACTCAACTACAACCACGACCCAGCAACTAAAACCACCACTCAACCACAACTACAACCACGACCCAGCAACTATAACCACCACTCAACCACAACTACCACCCAACAACTGTAACCACCACTATAACCATAACTACAACCACGACCCAGCAACTATAACCACCACTCAACCACAACTACCACCCAACAACTGTAACCACCACTATAACCACAACTACAACCACGACCCAGCAACTATAACCACCACCCAACAACTGTAACCACAACTACAACCACCACCCAACAACTGTAACCACAACTACAACCACGACCCAGCAACTAAAACCACCACTCAACCACAACTACCACCCAACAACTGTAACCACAACTACAACCACCAGCCAGCAACTGTAACCACCACCACCACCCAACAACTGTAACCACAACTACAACAGCCACCCAACAACTGTAACCACCACTATAACCACAACTACAACCACGACCCAGCAACTATAACCACCACTCAACCACAACTACAACCACGACCCAGCAACTATAACCACCACTCAACCACAACTACCACCCAACAACTGTAACCACCACTATAACCACAACTACAACCACGACCCAGCAACTATAACCACCACTCAACCACAACTACCACCCAACAACTATAACCACCACTCAACCACAACTACCACCCAACAACTATAACCACCACTCAACCACAACTACAACCACCACCCAACAACTGCAACCACCACTCAGCCACAACTACAACCACGACCCAGCAACTATAACCACCATTCAACCACAACTACAACCACGACCCAGCAACTATAACCACCACTCAACCACCACTACAACCACCACCCAACAACTGCAACCACCACTCAACCACAACTACAACCACCACCCAACAACTGCAACCACCACTCAGCCACAACTACAACCACGACCCAACAACTATAACCACCACTCAACCACCACTACAACCACCACCCAACAACTGCAACCACCACTCAACCACAACTACAACCACCACCCAACAACTGTAACCACCACTCAACCACAACTACAACCACCACCCAACAACTGCAACCACCACTCAACCACCACTACAACCACCACCCAACAACTGCAACCACCACTCAACCACAACTACAACCACCACCCAACAACTGCAACCACCACTCAGCCACAACTACAACCACGACCCAACAACTATAACCACCACTCAACCACAACTACAACCACCACCCAATAACTGTATCCACCACTCAGCCACAACTACAACCACGACCCAGCAACTATAACCACCACTCAACCACAACTACAACCACGACCCAGCAACTATAACCACCACTCAACCACAACTACAACCACCACCCAACAACTGCAACCACCACTCAATTGTAACTGTAACCACAGCCCAGCCACTCCTGTAACCACAACACACTCAACCACACCTGTAACCACACCACGTAACCACCACTCAACCACACTCGCTAACCATCACTTAACCACAACTATATCCACGACTCAACCATCCCTGTAACCACCACTCATCATTGACACAGAGCATCCGACTATACACGCAGATATCGAGGGTACTGTGTGCATACTATGTATATGCAGTACTGTTTTCGATCTGTGTGCTGTAAGTACTGCAGTGTGTGTGTTGTCTGGACTGTCCGTAGACCGAGTGTCCTGTGCCAATGTACTGTTGTGTACTGAGTGCACGGTGCACGTGTGTGCACTGTCATGCATGTATTGTATGTGTGTTGCATGTAGTGTATATGGTGTGTGTGTGTACTGCCAGTATGTACTCGTATGTGTACTGTATGCAGTGTATTTGTGCTGTGAACATGTATGTGTACCGTGTGTATATACTGTGTATGTACGGTGTGTATAGTGTGTATGTGTACTCTGTATGTGTGTACTGTGTGTACTGCCTATGTGTAATGCACGAACTGTGTATTCGTACTGTGAACATGTGCATGTGTACTGTGTGTGTGTACGGTGTCTGTAGTGTGTATGAGCACGTGCTCTGTGTGTGTACTGTGTGTGTGTACGGTGTGTGTATGTGCACGTGTGCTGTATGTGTGTACTGTGTGTGTGTAGTGTGTATGTGCACGTGTACTGTATGTGTGTGTACTGTGTGTGTGTAGTGTGTATGTGCACGTGTACTGTATGTGTGTGTACTGTGTGTGTGTGTACGGCGTGTGTATGTGCACGTGTGCTGTATGTGTGTAGTGTGTATGTGCACGTGTGCTCTGTGTGTGTACTGTGTGTGTGTGGACTGTGTGTGTGTAGTGTGTATGTGCACGTGTGCTCTGTGTGTGTACTGTGTGTACTGTGTGTGTGTAGTGTGTATATGCACGTGTGCTGTATGTGTGTACTGTGTGTGTGTAGTGTGTATGTGCACGTGTGCTCTGTGTGTGTACTGTGTGTGTACTGTGTGTGTATAGTGTGTATGTGCACGTGTGCTCTGTGTGTGTACTGTGTGTACTGTGTGTCCGGTGTGTATGTGCACGTGTGCTGTGTGTGTGTAGTGTGTATGTGCACGTGTGCTCTGTGTGTGCACCGTGTGTACTGTGTGTGTGTAGTGTGTATGTGCACGTGTGCTCTGTGTGTGTACTGTGTGTGTGTAGTGTGTATGTGCACGTGTGCTCTGTGTGTGTACTGTGTGTGTGTACGGTGTGTGTATGTGCACGTGTGCTCTGTGTGTGTACTGTGTGTACTGCGTGTTCAACTCGGACGCGGTCACACAGGAGACACCGACCTCACTGACCTGTCATGTCCAGCATCACAGGGACACTGCGAAGTGAGAGAGAGGTGGGGGGAGGGCGGCACGGGGTGTTGTAGGCGGGAGGGAGATGGATGGAGAGAGAGAGAGAGATATGGGAAGAAGGGAGATTTGAAGGGGAAGAAGGGAGATTTGAAGGGGAAGAGAGAGAAAGAAAATGCGTTGGAGAGAAAGTGAAAGAGATTAAGCCACAGAATAATGAGTGAGGTTACACCCGGAGAGAGAGAGGTGGGGGGCACCGGCAGTGTGGATTTGTGGACAATAAGGAAACACGTGGGTACAAAATAAGAAACTATAGACGAAGGGAGACAGCCTGAGACACACACTCACACACAGAGAGAGAGAGAGACACACAGGAATAAAACAGGGAGATGGGGACAAAGAGACAGACTGGGTGAGAGAGACACCGGGGTGATGATGAGGACACGCGTGCGAGACAGCACGAAGCAGAGTGACGGCCACCGCGAGCTTACAGACAGATCGAGAGACAAAGCGACGGAGGGACAGAATAAGGGACAGAGAGAGAGGGGGGGGAACGAGAGGCTGGGCTGATCTCTCTCGGAGAGAGAGAGGGGAGAGGAGGGGGAGAGGGGAGAGGAGGGGGAGAGAGGAGAGAGAGAGAGAGGGAGAGAGAGAGAGGAGAGCACGCTGGAGAGATCTGGAGAAGAGAGATCCCAGCGTCCGCGATTCCCGCACAACTCCTCACGCCCTGTCAGTGTGTGTCAGTGTGTGTGTGTCAGTGTGTATGTCAGTGTGTCAGTGTGTGTGTGTCAGTGTGTGTGTCAGTGTGTGTGTCAGTGTGTGTGTGTGTGTCAGTGTGTGTGTGTGTCAGTGTGTGTGTGTGTCAGTGTGTGTGCCAGTGTGTGTGTGTGTCAGTGTGTGTGTCAATGTGTGTGTCAGTGTGTGTGTCAGTGTGTGTGTGTGTCAGTGTGTGTGTGTGTCAGTGTGTGTGTCAGTGTGTGTGTGTGTCAGTGTGTGTGTCAGTGTGTGTGTGTGTCAGTGTGTGTGTGTGTGTCAGTGTGTGTGTGTCAGTGTGTATCAGTGTCAGTGTGTGTGTCAGTGTGTGTGTATCAGTGTGTGTGTCAGTGTGTATCAGTGTCAGTGTGTCAGTGTCAGTGTGTGTGTCAGTGTGTGTGTGTCAGTGTGTCACTGTGTGTCAGTGCGTGAGTGTGTCATTGTGTGTCAGTGTGTCACACGCTCACCACCCACACGCACTCTCTGTCTCTCTCCCTACCCACTCACTCTCCGCAAGCGGGACAATGAAAGAGGAGGAGACACGGAGGGTTCTCTGACGCTGCCCCATTGACTCTTCGCTAATTAATGAGATTCAATGCCCCACAACCACCCACCCACCCACCCCACTCTGCCCGCCCCAACCTCCCAAACCCCACTGCGATCCCTCTCACTCCCTCCCCCTCTCTCCCCATCGGTCGCTACTGCTCTTTTCATTGCCGCTTTCTCCGTCTTTTCTCTCCTTTATTCTCCTCTTTGTCTGCCTCCCTCCTCCTCCTCCTCATCAGCCCTGACTTTCTCTCCCCCCTCCTCCTCTCGTTCATTCTCCCACACCACAACCCACTGCCGGCGAACTTTTTACTTTAGCTCTCTCTCTCTCTCTCCCTCTCTCTCCCCCTGTCTCTTCCGCTATCTCTCTCCTCCTTATCTCTCACCTTTGCTCTCCCTGTCTCTCTCTCTCTCCCGTTTCCCCCCTTCCGATGAATGTCACGATTCTTAGTTCTCGCACTACTGATGTCTGCCTCTCTCTCTCTTTTTTACGATCAGAGGAAACAAGAAGATGCTCGGTGTAGTCGGCACTTTGCTTCGTTCATCATTTCGTTTTTTTGTGTTTTTTTAATGCTTTGCTTTATGTAACCCCCCCCCCCTTTTAAATGAAAGATTTAACAAAATATGTCTCGCTCTGCTCTCCTTACCCCTTCTATCCCACACTATCTCCCCAAGTTTACTTTAACTTTGACTCTTTCACTTTATCATTCCCCTAATCATCATCATCATCAGCCACGATCTATCTACTGCTGAATGAGAGCTTCGTGAGAGTTGTGTTTGACCATACGGAGAGCACAGACGTTGGGCCATAGAAGTACAGTACAGTGCTATACAGGGTGGTCCATATGTCTTGTGAACCCCCCAATTAATTAACTTACGAACATCGCTTTCCTTTGCATATTCATTTGTGTTTTAGCTAAACTATACGTGAAAAAAATCTACGTTTTAGAGCATTAAATGGGGGTCACAAGGGCGTCTGGACCACCCCCTGTACAGCACTCTCCACGGTTGAAGCATTTGCAAGGCTCATTGGGAAAAAAAAAAAGCTTAACCAGGAGGTGTGAACTCAAGAGACAAGGACGAGTCTCGTTTGCGAGAGTGACCCGGGGCATTGTCTGCTGGCAGTAAGGAACGACGAACTATAAATAGTCATCTCAGGAATTGGCAAATTTGGTCAAAAATCGGACCGTGACGTCTTTTCACACACGATTAAAACTACAACTAAACTGTGTTTTTTTAATATTCATATTCTTGGTTCTTTCGGTAAAGTCACGTAGAAGGGAAACAATGAAATAATAAAAAATATCAAACAATAAAATTCTCACGACGTTCCGACTGCAACACAAGCGATCATCATCTGGTGTGAAAACCACAGCAAGTATTAACCAGGACGGCAGCTGGATTCGATCCGTGAACCTCTAGCAATTCGAGGCGAACCCGCTAGGACAACGTCAGCGCCCTTATCTGTGGTCACAATCGGGCACAGTCCTGGCGATTGGTAGAAGCGATACGGTTACGAAAATAATGATACTAAAGTACTCACTTTACCAACGCCTTTGGCGTGCGCTTACCGGCTCTGAGTAGAAATTCCATGATTTCCTGCCCTTAAACAAAGATCCACATGTTTTTTTAACCCACGGATGACTTCCCACACACCGAGTCGGTACAGCCCCTCGACACAGGCTCGTTCACTCGTTTCAGCAAACCCCGAAGGACAGCGGGCGATGTTCAGTGCGCGGAGCCTACGTGTGCCGACCAAGTCACTCGCTTTGGACGCGTGGGGGTGATGCAGAGTCGATGCCCATGGCAGGGACGCGCCGCCTTGCGGTAACTCACGCATTCGATGTATGCGTATTTATTTCATTTGTTGTGTTGCCTATGTGGCACACGGCGATTGCTATAAATGCTTATTTTGTGTTATGTATTATATGGGGGAGTTTTTGTTTTTTTAAATCTCCGCCAAACTAGGACTCGTGCATACACAATAGAGTCCTTGCCTACAAGTGAAGGGGGGTGGGCAGATTGGGTGAGTCGGTGGGTGGGTGAGTGGGTGGCGATTTGGGTGGGTGAATGGTTTTGTTAGTAGGTGAGTGGGTGAGTGGGTGGGTGGGTGAGTGGGTGGGTGGGTGGGTGAGTGGGTGGGTGGGTGGGTGAGTGGGTGAGTGGGTGGGTGGGTGGGTGAGTGAGTGGGTGGGTGAGTGGGTGGGTGGGTGAGTGGCTGGGTGGGTGAGTGGCTGGGTGGGTGAATGGGTTGGTGAGTAGGTGAGTGGGTGGGTGGGTGAATGGGTTGGTGAGTGGGTGGGTGGGTGAATTGGTTGGTGAGTAGGTGAGCGGGTGAGTAGGTGAGTGAGTAAATGGGTGATGGAGTTGGCGATTGGGTGCATGTATCCGACATTCACGAACTGAATGGAGAAATCATATAGAACTAAACAAAAAAATTTATTTAAAGCTTTCGTGACTGCAGGGATTCATATTCTTGGTTCTTTCGGTAAAGTCACGTAGAAGGGAAACAATAAAATAATAAAAATATAAAACAATAAAATTCTCACGACGTTTCGACTGCAACACAAGCAATCATTATTTGAAAATTTTCAAATTTTCTTGTTGTGGTTTTCACACCTGATGATGATTGCTTGTGCTGCAGTCGAAACGTCGTCAGAATTTTAGTGTTTTACATTTTTATTATTTTATTGTTTCCCTTCTACGTGACTTTACCGAAAGAACCAAGAATATAACTAAACCACTTAATAATTTCTCTTCATTGACCCTAACACAATTACATCATCATGAAATCCCCGAACCTCCGATGACGCACGGGTCGCTACCTGCGAAAAAAGTTCGACACGCATACATATCGTTCCTGACTTGGATATAACGTCGAATGCCCCATCTGCCGGGCCGACCCGCATTGCACCTGACGCACATGTGATACATCGATCGTTCTTGCCGTCATCTTCCTGAATGAAGACCTCCCCAAGCCATCCCCTAATCTCTCACGGTCCTATGTGATCCAACAATCCACCGTGTTTACGAGAATGACTCAAACGAGGATAAAGTCCATGTTAACACAGTTGTGTTGGTATATATGTTTTTAAATTCGTATTTCACATTAACAAAAAAAAACGAACAGAATGAAATGACCTCGGGGTTAATAATGGTGAAGTAATTGACATCATCGAGCACGGGTAAGTGAGTCGTGGTAAAACAAATCAAGGGAAGAAATGCAATACTGTACAGGGCGGTCCAGATGTCTTGTGACCGGTATTCATTTGACCCCTAAGCAATAGATCCCTAACATGTTTTTTTCCTTTGCATATTAATCTGTTTTAAATAAACCTGACTTTAAAAACAATATATATTAAGTTGTTATTTAAAGCTTTCGTGACTGCAGGGATTCATATTCTTGGTTCTTTCGGTAAAGTCACATAGAAGGGAAACAATAAAATAATAAAAATATAAAACAAAATTTTTTTGATATATATTTTTATTATTTTATTGTTTCCCTTCTACGTGACTTTACCAAAAGAACCAAGAATATATATTAAGTTTTAGATAATTATATGTGGGTTACAAGACATGTGGACCACCCTGTATACCAACGAGGTGGGGCGGGAGGCATCCCAGAACAATAAAATCGCCCTCTTCATGATGCACACTCTCTCGTCGTAAAATCACCATCCCCCTCCAGAACTGCAATGGAAAATGCTAGAAATGTCCGAGCATCAGGGAACCGGGTGATGGGATTCGTAAGGGCGCCGCGGTGGCTAGGGAGATGTTAACCACCTCGCCCGGTACGCAGGAGGTCGTGGGTTCGATCCCGACCCTGACGCCTGCTGCTGCTGTATATTTAAGGGTTTTCGTGTCTCTTGCTCTCTCCCCGTGGTCGCGTGGATTTTCCTCCGGGTTCTCCGGGTTTCCCTCTCCACATTTAGAATCAACACCGCCACGCGTCTACAGTTGTTGGCCGCTTTCTTTGAGCTATCATTCGTGACAGCCGGGTCGCTTCTGCAAAAAAAAAGCTACGTAGCTCAGCGAGGCCCTTACCTGGTCAAATAAATATAAAATTGGTTTAGTAACGAGAGAGGGAGGACGCGACTTGAGGGAGAGAGACAGAGAGAGAGAGAGGGTGGGGGAGCAGGAGGCCAAACGGGCAGACGCGCGGCGCTAACGAGAACCAATTACACTTAATTACTCCTCGGCGCACTTCGATCGCCACGTGCGCTCAAGATTGGTGCCTCCACACAACGCACCCCCCTCCTCCCACGGATTGTCAACACTGGGCGCCGTGGGATTGGGGGGTGGGGAGAGGTGAGCGGGGGGTGGGGAGAGGTGAGTGGGGGGTGGGGAGAGGTGAGCGGGGGGGGGGGGAGAGGTGAGCGGGGGGTGGGGAGAGGTGAGCGGGGGGTGGGGGAGAGGTGAGCGGGGGGTGGGGAGAGGTGAGCGGGGGTGGGGAGAGGTGAGCGGGGGGTGGGGGAGAGGTGAGCGGGGGGTGGGGGAGAGGTGAG